AAGCTGCTTCTGCATGAGTTCGATTCCCGCCCCGGAGGTGTCCACATGGCGTGGCAGACCTCTCCTGACCAGCCCGCTGCTCCCCTCAGCAGTGTACTTCGTCGATCTGCCTGTTCTGTTCCCCACTCTGTCTCTGGTGAAGTCTGTCACTGCCCCTGAGCCTCTGGCCTGTACCCCAGTTCTGTATGCACAAATAAATAAATCTTTAAAAAAAAAATTTCACTTATAGTCAGAAAACACTGGCTACATCACTAGCTCTGCTTTGGAACTCTATCCCCTGACTACAATCCTCATCTGCAGAAATAAGGAAAAAAAGGCCACACACAACTCAGTTTCTACAACATGGCAAGATTCTTAAAATCAGAAATGATGTGTAAAAGACAGAACCAGAAGAAATGTGCTTCTCTCTCTTCTATCCAGTCTGGTTAAATCTTGCAGGAAATAGAGTTAACAAAGGGAAACATCCATTGCTTTGGGAAAGTGAGTATTTAACCCACAGCTTGTCTTATTTTGAAAAGGAATTAGATTCTTGTCCCACATGTCACATAATCAAAATATAATGCCATGATTTCACATCCCACTAAATATGTTGTATCTTTTAAGCAAAGGGGACATTTAACGAGAAACAATGTAAGGAAAGAAAGAACTAACTCAGACATCAATAATTCATTCATCAGAAACAGGAGTAGTGGTATGAAATGCCAGAGGACTGTTTCATTTATAGGGAGGCACCTTCTATTTTAAACCTCAAACAACGCAGTCAGCTTTACTCCGCAAGCTAATGTGAATGGAGCCAACACTGAATGGGAGGACAGGTTTTATGACCCTCTGAGAATGCTGTTTCTTTAGCATCAGTTATTTAGGTCTGAACATCACCATTTGGGAACTTGGAAAAGTGACAAGAAAAAGATTTTTATAACTTTTGTACTTGAAAGGTGGATTTCCTTTACTTCAAAGTTACGGCACTGGAAGTGTAATCATGTGAGTCTAAGAGATAGGCTTTGCATTAAGTTATGAGGGTATGTTCTCATTTAGTACTAAAACTCCTCAAGTGCTACAGTTCCTTATTAAGTCATCTCCCAATTCAATCCATTAGTGACAGGCAATATTATATCATCACTGTGTTCCCCAAGCATATGCACAGAGCCATCCACAAAGGAAACCTTCAGCAAACACAAGCTAAATGAATGCACACATGCAGTCCAGTATGGAATAAGTCTGTGGTCTGAAGCCCACAGACCAGGCTGGAGGAGGTGATGAGCCAGCATTGTATATGCCTAACTTCTTAATTCCAATGAAAGATAGAAATTCCTCCCCTTCACTATCTTATATCGAATTCCAGGACTTAAGTTCCACTAAGGGAGATGGGAAATGGAAGAAAAAAAGAACAGCAGATAAACCTTTCCCAACCTCTGACACTGGAAATGAACAAAGACCTCCAAGTTTAAAGTTGGAATGTTCACAGGCAAACATATTTTGATACCATTGTAATTTTTAACTGATTATTTGTCAAGACCTAAATATAGGAATAGAACAGTAATTATGACAGTTATTATGATCTAGCTCTCATTATGTAGTCAGCAGTAACCTTGGTGTTTTACATATTTTATGACTACATTTTACAAGTATTATTATGCCCATTTTAGAGATGTAAAAAAATACTAAAGCACAGAGTCCAAAGCTAATTAGGAAGAACTGAAGATCCATTCTTATATCCTGATGCCACCTCTACTTAAACAGAATTATGAGCCTATATAGAGACACACTTAAAGACAGATCCTTCAATCATAGGTATAATCATGGTCTGATGAGCAGAATAGATATATGAAAGTATTTTTTTTTTAAAGTTTTGTGTAGAAGAACTGGGGTGTAGATAAGAGGTACAGAGGGTGAGAAGATTCACCAGAGACAGAGTGGGGGGCAGAGCAGGCGGATCTGCTGAAATATACTGCTGAGGGGAATAGCAGGTGAGACAGCAGAGGTCTGCTGCACCATATCGGTCAGCTCCCTGGCCGGGGATCAAACTGAGGCTGAACAGTGATAGTGAGAAGATTTAACCCCGAGGCCACCAGGGACACCCCAGTGCCGATATTTGAATCCTAAATGCCTGAATACATGCTCTAGACTGGCTCGGTAACACCAGGCAGGCATCTTGAGAGGAGATAAAGGAACATTACATGTTCCCATTTGACTTTATGTAATAGAGGCAGGGAGCACAGGGCTGCTCCCCTGAAAATGACAAACTCCAGTCTAGCTATCCATCTAGAACAAAGCCTGTGTCCTTCACACCACATACAATGAACCACAGACAATTCTTAGAATTAACAGAAAGTGAACAGGACCATGTTTTTTTGTTTCGTTTTTTAAATAGTTTCTCTGCCATTTGCATATCAGTATAATTTTGGGTTATGTTTTTACTCCTCCATATGTGACACCAAAACTGTGTCAGTGCCCTAGCCCCTTCTTTTCCCTATCTGCTCCTCTCTCTTCTCTCTAGTAATCAGTTTTTCTAATGTGACAGATACATTAGAGAGTAATTTGAGCATAACTTCTAGTTTTCAGAGAGTTAAGAACTGTTTTTGCTGTGCTTTGCCAGTATAAGTTTTTTGGTTATTTATATTCCCCAGGTAAGTGAAACCATTAGTCTGCCACTTCTTACCGATTTCACTCAGCATATTTCACTTAGTATCACCATAATCTCAAGATTCTAAAAGGCACAATTTCATCTTTGTTAACAGCTACGTAGTATTCCATGGAGTATACATTCCATAGGACTATGACAATTCTCCTTTCACAAAGGTCTTGGGAGAGAAGCCAAGCGCAAAGGGAATCTTTATAAAGAAAAGTTTTTCTAAAGTGGCCAATAAAAACCATCAAAGGCAATACTTAAAGAATTGTCTATCTATACAGACTTTGCAGCTAGCAATGCTAGTCACAGGCAAGATACACTGCAGGAAAAGTGTCTCTGTCACTGACTTGTTTGGGTGTTCCAAACTGCCATATGTACCCCAAGAGGGAACAGTTACAGGCTCAATGCACTTTTAGTTTCTATGAGTAGCTTTTCCTGTCCCTCACAATCATACATGAGGCTACTTTGGGTGTTAACGAGTGTTATTTAGACTCTCCCAGAGTTTTCCTACTTGTCTTTCCTCTGTACGAATGTTCGTGAGATAAATTCAGTCAGTTCTACTAAAATGCTTGCCTTGAAAATATGAATTTCTTCTAATGTGATTGGTAATTTGAGCATAACATAAAACTTATATTTGTTTATATCTCATTTTATCCTAGAAACACCTGCTGAATGTAAACTTCCCAACCAAGCTGAGCAGAACAGTGTGGGGCTAAACAACACCATAGCCTCATTTCTTGCTTGCCCACAACTGATGTGTAACCTCCCATATGATGTCAGGAAACCCTTCTTCCCCCTCACAACACCTCGCCAGCTGTCACACCTCTGAAAACCATCTTGGAGCCTGTCCCCCATGAAATTTAATCTTCATCTCTTCCTCTCAACCTTTCTCACATTTTTTCTCTCTAGTCTCTGTTGCTTTCTTTTCATCTTTATCTTTCCCTTAGTAAATATTATATATATTAATATAACAAAGGTTACATGTATTCCATTTTATTTATCATTTAACCACTTAGTATGAATGAAACTGGGTTATGTTTGTGGTGGGTCCTCTCATATTTGTGTGTCACAACTTCATTTTTTTTTTTACTGCTCTGTGGTTTGGAGTTTATAAAATGTGATTATAATTAGGAATGCAGGTCACATTACAGAATGGACTGGATATTTCAACTTATCAGTGGTGACTTTGTAGGTATTAAAGTTTCAAGTTTCTCCTTCAGTGTTCATGCTGGTTTGCAAATTAGGTTAAGTATATATGTCTCAAATTATATCCCTTTATGTGAAATTCTCTATAACTTTTAACAACACAATCTAAACAGAAATAACCAGGTCTGCAAGAAAACTGTCTGGTTTACTTTGTCCTTTTCTTTCTCTCGCATAGTCTATAAATTACTACCTACATTAATTTGTTTATTAATGCTTTCACAGGTTTTTACTGAGCCACTAATCTAATCTGTAATATTTACCCAGTTTTAAGTATTTTTTTTTTAAAAAAACAACTTCTTTCCCACTAACTTTTTTGAGGCTTCTTTGAAGATGGTATAATAATAATAATTTAAAAAGCCATTTACGGTCACAATTTTCTGGCTATATAGTTTTAATTACTTTATCAAATAACTTAATCAAGTTCTACAAGCTGAGAAATGTTTTCCTTAAAGAAAAATACAGGCCAGACATAGCACTTATGAATGATGAAAATACTTTTAAAGTATCTGGGCCATTATAAGTAGGAAAAATCATTTCCATTTACTTCTAAAGAAAGTTAGGGTAGTATTAGTTATCAATGGATGTGCATTTTCATTTGTTTTTACAGAAATGATTGTACTAAGGGAACATGTGATTAAATGTGTTCCCATGTGAGATTAGAAAGGTAGTATGTTCTGCATATGGTAATCCTCATAAGTATTTCAGGTATATTAGTAGAAAATACAGTCACTACAAAGTAGAGGTGAGAAGAAAAGAAGCAAAGACAGTTTTTGGCAGAGACTTCAAGCACAGTTCAAACTGGTTAAATTTAAGGAAATAAAGCAATTTTCTTGGGGAAAGGGGTACTTATTTTGGCCTTTCTCTTTAGCACTCATTCCTAAATAAATTGGTCATGGACCAAGTAATGTATGACAGGGAATGTTCCCCAGCTGCACCCTCACGGCTTTGCAATGCTGAGCGTTCCTCCAAGCGTCTCTCTGAAACCATTCTTACTATGAGGAAGACCCCCCTTTATTACTCAGAAGTTTCAGTGGGAAGACATTTACTTATCTTAAAACAAGTTAGGTATCATTTGTTTCCTGAATTGACAAGAAAATACTTCCTTTAGAAAGAGTGGAAAACAAAGCTCCTTGCCAGTCACTCAGTCACCCCTCTTGGGCCTTACTTGTTCTCGTTGCTTGCATCATAACGAGGCATTGGGTCCAAGTCATTCCCATTGACATCGCAACTTGCCAGAGCATCCTATAGCCATAGAGGAGAGAGCAGGAAAAAAAAAGATGGACATCATTCATTAGCCATTAAGTTAAAGGTTGATGCATTCTTAAACACATTTACTCAAGAGAGTAATTAGGTTAAATACTACCCCATGTTTCACGATGTTGGGATGCCTCATTCAGTAGTGATCAGTGTCATGTTTTTCCCCATTAGAATGAACAAACACTTTCCACAGACTAAAGTGGTGCCTGGAATGTTCTTCCCAGCACTTCCCTACTCATATCTAAAATGGATCCTTCACCCGGTTCCTTTAAAGGTGTCATCAATGACCATCTTTTCTCAGAAATATCCCTGGGTTACCTAGAAAGTGATTTGTTCTCTATGGAGTCTCTGTCCTCACTTCATTTCTTGAGTATGCAGACTCCTTATCATAATTACAAGATTTTAGAGGACAGATAAATCACTCATCGATAATTGGAAAGCCTTTTAAAAAACAGTGTTAGATGTTGTTCTATTAGATCTCTTGGGGGTCTCTATTAGACAATAACTTGTAAGGTTGCAGATATGTTACCTAATACAAGAATCTACAACTCAGACATTTTACTAATACCCAGTGGTCATTCACCCCCACCAAAATAATAAACAGTTTTACTGCATGCCAAGGTTTCAAAATGAAGTGCAGCAGTCTCTGAAAGCAAAGTGGAGCTGTTTGCTTTTAGAAATGATTGTGAAAGATCAGAAGAGAATTTACTGGGCTGTTCTGACATTAGAATTTGCATCATATCACTGTCTGAATTTTGTTATACTTTTGAATTCCTGACTTCACTTGGCAAAATGCTATTTTTGATTTGTTGTTTCTGAAAATAGTAACTCTGATAATTCATAGAGTGAAATATTTGGGGGCACCAAGCAAAATGGACATTATATATTAAAGTGAAATTCCTTGCTTCTTTGCAGAGGGGGCCCTGCAGTCTCCCCTATTCAGTCATTAGAGCATGAAGGGCAGGCAGTGGACTGTGCTCCTTTTACTTATAAGGAAACAGAGGCCCAAGACAGGTAAGTTGGACAGAATTGAAAGGAACTGCCCGGGGAACAAAGACTGGATCCAGGTGTTCACACGCTTCATCCCAAAAGCTCCTCTTTGCCTGCAACAACTCCAGTATAGACAGAGTGTGGACACAGTACTGCTAACTATACAGATAAATTCCAGAGAATTATCTTACAAAGGGACAAATGAAAAAGGTGAAAAGGTAAAAGAAATAAAATTAAAATAAAGAATGTAATCCCGGGCCTTCCCTGGTGGTGCAATGGGTTAGGATGCAGCACTGCAAGGTAGCAGCAGCTGCTTCAGAGCAAGTTCGATTCCCAGGCCCAGAAGTGACCCACATGGCACGGCAGACCTCTCCTGACCCACCTGCTGCTCCCCTCAGCAGTGTACTTTGTCGATCTGCCAGTTCTGCTCCCCACTCTGTCTCTGGTGAAGATTCTCACTGCCCCCCGTCCCCTGCACCTCTGGCCTATACCCCAGTTCTGTATGCATAAATAAATCTTTAAAAAAAAAAAGAAAGAAAAAGAGTGTAATCCCAGTTCTGTATGCATAAATAAATAAATCTTTAAAAAAAAAAGAAAAGAAAAAGTGTAATCCCAAAGTGAAAGCTGTTTGCATTGACTCAAGTGCATTTCTGAGCAGTAGTAAGCAGGAACACAATGTAAAATCCTTTTTTTAGAGGCAGCAGCTCTCCTTGCTAGAAGACGGTGACATTTTTAATACTAATTACATAACCAATTCACTTTGGCCTTTATGCCTCAGTTTCTATCCTATGAAAGGATAGAAAATGGAAAGAAAATAAAATAGTTACTTTTTAGCTCTAAAATTCTAGGCTGTCAAAAGACACAACTTTACCTGAGCAAGCTGGGAGATATGTGAGGGAAGCCACTCAAATGTTTTATCTAAATGAAAAATACAAGAATGTCCTCCTTTCTTTAAAAAAAAAATATCTAATATAATATAAGGGAAACTTTCAATATTTTGACATAAAAATTAATTTGTGAAATTTCTTGGCTGAATTTTTTTAAAAAGATTTGTTTATTTATGCATATAAGAACTGGGATACAGGCCAGAGATGTGGAGGTAAGGGAGAGGATTCACCAGAGACAGAGTGACAGAACAGGCAGACTGACTGAAATACTCTGCTGAGGGGAGCAGTGGATGAGACAGGAGAGGTCTGCTGCACCATGTGGGTCAGCTCCCTGGCAGGGATCGAACTTGTGCTGCAGTGGCTGTGGACAGCTTCAGAGTGCTGCACTTTAACCCTTTGTGCTACCAGGGAGGTACACTGGACTGAAGGGGCAATGGGGTAGAAAGGAAAATATTTGAAGTTAATCAAAGTCTAAGATAATAGTGGGTATTCTGTGTGGTGGCAGGTCTCCGTAGGTCAAAACAGGGTGATCAGTGCTCACTGATGATACAACTGGCAGTATTTTACTTGTGAAGATAAAATTCATTCTTTTCAGGTTTGAGTGACAAAAGGAAAATTAATTTAAAAGAGATGAAATATGAAATACGTGAGATTGCACAAATGAGACAGAAATGTCAGAGAGAACATATGGTGATTTCTACCTAAGTGATTTTATGAGAAACTTTTGAAGCAGTAGGTAAGAGAGGACAGAGGAGACAGAGTCCTAAACACACAGTGATTCCCACTGTGCAGAGAAAACAGGCTCTTTCCAGGATTGTGGGCAATGAAGCAGGTGTTGGTTGGGTGAGGGGAGGAGATAGATCAGATTTCAGGAGGACATCATGTCATTTCTGGAGAAGCTAGGTCCACTCTGAGTGAGGCCAGGGCAATATCCTTTAGGGACAGTGCTCTGTCTACCAGTGTCTGAGGAACAAACAGGAGAGGGAGGCAGCAGACATGCCACCAAGGCACGCCTTTCACGCTGATGTGCACGGGGAAGGGAAGTCAGGGACCATCTCAGAACTCTGCCCACTCAGGCACCATGTGATAGGCTGGGGCTTGCTATAGTTGCTCCCTTAACGACCATGAAGAGAAAGATCTGAGGAGATGTGTTCCTCCCAGTTATAGCCCACAATTCTCTAGGGCCCCTTCATAAACAGGTAAAGCTTCCCACCACAGCCCCTAATTTTCCGTGTAGATTGATATGCATCCTAAAAAGGGATGTGGCTATCATCATGATTTAGAGTTGCTGTGTTTGCAAAGATATGAGAGAAATGAGTAAGGTGATTAAAAAAAAAATCACCAGTTTTAAGGTAAATATTGTTCACCACCAACATAAGATACAATTTAGGAAAACTCACATAGCCAAAATCTTGGCTTTCAAAAGAATCCTGAAAGAATAAGGACATGGATAAAAGTGTTCTTGAAGTTCACATGATTTTGAGTCAACAGAATAGAGGCAGAGGAGACATCAGGAGACCTGGATGTGAGAGGAAGACACCAGGGCTTTCTGCTGAGCCCTGATGGAATGATGAGTCATCTCTGCAGATAATGGGGAACCACTGCAGGTTTTTTAATAACAAAAGAAGTATTCTGGGGAGAACACAAAGGTGTCAGGAAACACAAATTTGGAGCAGATAGTGAATGGTATATTGGGAAATAATCATGGCACTGTTAACCAAACATGGGGAGAAGCAGATGGAAGGGTTCAGTGAAGAGAGAAGAGGCCAGAGGGGGCTTTGACACATTTCTAGGTAGTGAGTATCACAGAGGGAGGGGAAATTGAGAACCAGAAATCAACTCCAAATTCTAGGAACAGGTCACCACCCACCTACAGTGGGCTCTGATAACAAGACTGTGGTTTTCAATGACAACATTAAACTTCAGCATTTACACTTGCTCTGTGACCTTGGGCTCATCTTTTTCTTCTCTGAAACCTGGAATCATGATTCCTTGTTATGAGAGGGAATTGAATGATTCCTAAGGACTAGTGGATGGCTGGTCTACCATCCTTTACAAAAGGAGAGGCAGAGAGAGAGAGAGAAACCAACCAAATAAATTGGGGGAATTTCTAAACATGCCCTTTTCTATGAAAGAAACAAAGAGTGTTGCCTGGCTGCGCGGATGAACTGCTGAGAAGAGTGGTTGTGTGGGCAGCAGATGGTACTGGTGGTGGGGATTCTGCTACCTAATCACCTGCCATTTGTCAGTCAGAACATCAAAGGCACTCGAAAGTTGAAAGTGTTATCTCATGCTGCCTGTACCCTGAGAGTCCTGTTTTACAGGAAGAGGGCAACATACAGGGAGCTTACTATGTCTATCAGTGGCATATGCTGGAAGTTTCCCCCTATCTATTCATCCTAACACAAGTTCCCTCACTCCTGAGGAGGGGAGTCATTCCTACCACAGCAAACACTCACGTAGTTCTGCATCAGATCCGGGTGGGTTCTCTCAATGCCATCGTCCAGGATGGTGACCACAATGTTCTTTCCCGTGTAGCCTCTCTTCCAGGCGCCTTCAATATTCATGTCTGACTGGCAGGGATGCGTGTTGTCACTGCAGTGCTGAAGGATGAAGAGGGAGAAGTGAACGGTGCTGATGGCTCAATAATGAGGACATGGCAGAATAGCCTTCTTGCCAGGTAATGCATTCCATTATCAGCTTTTGGGTAGGCTGCCTGGTAGAAGAGATGGCGTGGATCTCTTGTATGGTGACAAAGGAAAGTTGGAAGGACAGATGTATGGAAAGCAAGTGAAACAAAAATCTCTCTACCTAGTTCAACCTGTTCTAATACCAAAGACTCATAGAGAAAGCATAAAAATAGGTCTCAACAGCAGAATAATGAACACTAATTTTTGTTAGCATGTATTAATGACACAGAAAAAAACATTGCAGTATTTCACTTGTAAATCCAAACTGGATAATAAAAAAATGTATATTTTATAGCTTCTTGTTTATTTAGTTACTTATTTATTTTTACATCATTGTTCAATTTGTAGCCAGGCACTAGAAGCCCATCAATCTAAAACTAAGAACAAACCAAGGCAGCTTTTGTAGCAGCAGCCAGAGGTGTGCTACTGTGAAAAGGCCAGGAAAGAGAAAAAATAAGTTTCTTCAAACTCTTTCAATAAATTAATAATGGTGGTTGTACTAGAATTTGCAGGGGTCGACAAACTCACTCAGCACTATTCATGAAAAGAAGTAGGTCTAATGCAAAGTCCAGAAAGGTGACACACACAGGAAAATGCAGGTAAGGGCTTGAAGAGGTGGGCAGTAGAAACATCAAATCTAAGCTCATTATGAGAAGTAATTTTCTTCCACAATGGCTACAACATACAAATGTACTGGGAACTGAATTAAACCAGCAGCCATTCCTGATATAATTTACTAGCATTTGTCCAACTGACACAATTGTTCTTTCAAAGTCCATCTCTTTCAAATTACCCTCTGAGTGGTGTTATTTTCCAGGTTTGGGAGGCTCAGTAGAGACAAAGGAAAAGAGATGTGCTGTGACAGATGCCATAGCAACACGGGCCACCCAGGTCTTCAACAGGCACTGTTTTCCTTTGGTTATTGAATAGTGCAGTCCTTTGGGAAGGGAACAGAAGGGAGCTGGGTATGCTCCAAACATAATGGAGACCCCACTGTCACTGATTCCTCCTGCACACTTTACTGAGAACGTGCTGCACATTGGGGTATGGCAATGAGCAAGCAGGTGTGCTCTCTGTCCTAATAGCCCACCTATGGGGGGGACACAGATAGCAAGAAACAAGCCCAGACACTCCTTATATTTTGCAAGAATTAAAGGTATTATGTTGGTGAGTGCTGGGACTGGAGCAGGACAGTTTTAATGGGAAGGTCAGAAAAAGACTGGATGCTGAAAAAAAGGGAAATGTGAACTAAGGTATGCCTGGTAAGAAAAGGCAGGTCTGCATAAGAGCTGACAGACAAGTGCCTTGGTAGAAGGCACAGCAATTGTAAAGACTAAGGCAGGAAAGGGCCCTACACAATGAAGGATAAAAAATGTGGACAGTGAAGCTTAAGGATGGATAGTGGCACAGAAGGCAGAGCATTAGAAGGGTAAGCGATGGCCCATTACCCGGGGCTTTGTTGCCACTCATGGGATTTTATTCTAAAGTACACCTGCATGAAGTTTCTCTCTTTATAAACTTCATCTCTCAAAATCAACGCTAAGTGATAGCCACCTCCAGTGCCCCCTCCCACATTTGTTAACTTATTTCCTGAGTTCACCTAACTTGTGAAATGTTATAAATACATTTGAATAGTTTTATTAGAGATCCATTTTCAGGAAGGGTGACCACTATTTTTCATTACAGGAGATACGTATTTCAGAGGGAAGAGGGCCTTAAATACTGCATGAGCATTTGCATCTTTTTACCACCTTCTTGGCTTCTTTCTTGCACCTGTGGTCTTGTTCCAAATTCCACACTCCCTGCCTCTTAGTTTATCAGGCACAATTCTAATGCTCCTTCCTTCTAGAACTATTCTCTTCAGTCTCACTCCTCTCCTTAACCCAAGGGATGGAAATAGACACAGATGCCCATTCACACCGAAACAAACACCCCACCATTCTATACAGTCTACCTAGCAATTCATCAAGTTTTGTTGAACTGTTGCTGGCTATTGAATCTTGGATGTGACTTTTGTCTCCTTGACTATAAACCTCTCGACAACTATGCATTAAACCAAATCTAAGCTAGGATTTCAATAAATATTGGCAGATTGATTACATGCCAGAAAGGAGAGCATATTTTCAACTTCAATTTCAGGTTCACAACTGCCATGATGCTTACTGCCCTGACCTCTTCTGTTATACCTAGCCAGCTGATGCTTGATTAATGGAGATGATCCTGAAAGAAACACTGTAGATATCCAAAATATCTTTATTTTTCAGACATCTCATTCTAGCCAAGAATTAGGGCCTCTCCTCACCAAATATTTTAACTTAACACAAAGCAACCCTGACAGGTTCCCATTTCTTTTTTTTTTTTTCTTTTTCAAAGCTTGCTCTGGCCACCTGGGGTATCATTTGTGACATGAAGTAATGTTAATGTGGCCAAGAAGTGGGATGGAGGAAGGAAATGCACAGGAAATGGGTAACCCACAAATGGGAGAACCATGCTGGAGAGGAGGGATGCTGCCTGAAATTGTAATTATGAAAATTGAAGAAAACCAGCCGTGGATGGAAAACATGTGTGTTAAAAGTGGAGCAATTAGGTTTTTTTTCCTTCCACCTCTGTTTCTGTTGAATCTGACTTTACAATTAAACATTTTCGTACCACCTTACTTTTAATCTGCCAACATAGTATTAGTGGAGGCGAAGGAGGGGAAATATCCAATTGAAACTTTCATTTGGATCGCCTAATGTAGTGAAGAACTAAAATGTCAAAGAAAAAAATAATCAGATCCTGGGGGTAGGGGAAATGTTGGCCCTTGGAAGGGAGTTTTAAGGTCAGAACACCCCTAAATCCTGATAGGAACTGAGATTTTTAACATGTATTTTGAATGTGAATGTTTCTAATATATTTGTTTCAAATACTCAAGGTATTTAAATACCAAAGACTATAGAAAATATAGACGCTGGTAACACTCCTCAAAGATGAATATCAGTTAGTCATTTCCTTAACTGATTAATCAAAATGAGTTTGAATTAGAATCTATTTGCTTGAGAATCTATATTATAGCACCACACAAAGGCAAAAGGAACTCATACCCGCATACACAATGAGCCATGCTGAGAGGCTATGACAACCAGAACCAAAGATTAGTTTCTGGAATTGTGTCATGACATCTACAGTCACAGACCAGTATTCACAAAAGAGGCTAGTCAGAAACTTGCAGCATAGTTGAAGCTGATGAAAACCACATATGTGCACATTATATTTACTTATAGTAAATGTATGTACCTTCAGTTGTGAATAATGTTTTTTCACAGATAACTAAACAGAAACATAAAAATGGAAAATATCTGTAGAAACAATGGTTACCACCTTGGCTTCTCACTTTTTATCCATAAAAGCTTTTATTCTTTTTAGGAATAAAATGTTAAAGAGATTATTCTCTGAGTTTTCTTCTACACCAAGGTTAGAGCCACTCTGCTTATAAACCACTCTGGGTGTGCCCACTTCTTGTGCATCTTCATAAAAACATCACAGTATTTGCTCAATGAAAGTACAGCTTATTCCCAAAATAAACACTTTTTATGGCCTCCCATCATTTTCAGACTGGAAGGAGAAACAAACCTCAATGTCATTCTTTTCAAACTTCAAGTTCTAAGGGTCTCCAATGAGCTGCCAATTTACATGCTACCAATAACCTGCTAACTTTGAAAACAGCTGTTCATTGTTACAGTGGCTCATAAGGCTGCATCTCTGACTGTACGATGTTAGCAAGACAGAGAATTAAGTACACAGGCACAAAATCTGTTTTATAGACAACTTCAGAAACTTACCTAGTCAGTTGAGGAAATTATAAAATTTGGAGTCCAACAGTTTTAAGAAAATTGAAAAATACTAGAGTTGATCCTTCCCTTAGGTGGAACTAAAACTCACCTCTCCATGTTCTCACCATTGTCAAGCATTATGTCAATTATTTTATACAGACTAGCACACATATTGAAGACTCAGAACAACTATTTGAGGGAGGTACTATAATCACCTGCTTTTAAAGGCTGGAGAATGAGAGATAAGCAGTCCAACTAACCTTTTTAAGTTCAAAAGCTGGTCAATAGTGAAATTAGGATTCAAAAACCAGCAATCTGATGGCTGATCATAGTGTGATTAAACTCATCTCTTAAAAACTGGAACAGGAAGTACTTATAGGAAGCTTCAACACATGCAAATTCAGATAAGGCGTATATAACGAAAGGGCTTGGGGGGATACAGCACCAGTTAAGAAATCCAAATTACACAAATTTCAGTCTTAGCACTGTGATCAGTGCATTCAAGTGATAAGGTGGAAAACAAAACTTTAGAGATCTTCTAATTTTTCCTTATTCCACTCATTGCAAAAGTCTTTTAGGAAATAACCAAGTGTTTATTTGAATGGTTTCAATAACATGAAGCTTACTTCTTTACTAATAGTGTATGCTGGTAAATCAATTTTAAAAATCCCATATTTGTATTGTTTTCTAATTTCCATGGTGTAAATGCAACAAGGCAGTTTTAAAGTATCGCTCTTGCAAGATTCCTGAATGTGTAACAACAAGCTTTTATTAACTGCTAGAAAGCAAGTCCAGCACACCACTGACAGGAGTTCATTTCATTGTTAACCTTGCTTCATTTCTGAAGAAGGCATCTCTGCCAAGGGTTTGACATTGCTCCTCAGTACCTGAGAAGTACTGGGATGTACCTAAGCTTAGTTTTTCTGTTCTTTCATCTTTATTTTTTTTATGTGCCCATGTGTATAAAACTGGGGTATAGGTCAGAGGTGGAGGGTGGGGAGTAGTGAGAAGCTCCACCAGCGACAGAGTGGGGAGCTGAAAAGGCACATCTACTGAAATACACTGCTGAGGGGATTATCCAGCACACAGGAGAGGTCTGCT